AGTAAATTGGTTGATTGGTGTAGTTTTAAAGTTTTATAAACCGAACACCTTGTTAATTTAAGTGGTCATTTTTTTTTTCTGAAAGTAAAAGTTTTTTAGTTTAAATAACATAACATACGGATAAAGTAAAATAAGAAATGAGATATAGTTGTCTTTTATTATACAACCAAAAAAAAAAAGAGTTTTATAAACCGAATTAATTTAGAATTCAAGTAAAGGTGAAAGGACAAAAAAAAAAAAAAAAACAACACAGTTTGAGTGAAAAATAACCGTAAAAAAAAAAAAAACAGTATGTCCAAACCTTTTTGTTGTCAATTGCTTCAGCACCTTAAAATTGAGGTTGAAGAAATACAATAAAAATATAATCTGCCAATTTATGTATATTTTAAGCATGTAATCTTGCACTATCTATTTATTACATTCAAAAAACTTAACGTGGCTCTATATCGATTTCATTGTGAGTTTGAAATTATGGATTTAATTTTTATAATTTTATAATTTTAAATAAGAAAACTCTTTATTTTAACTTTTTTTAATATATTACTATAATTATTAAAAGAATAAAAATAAAAATAATTTTAATAATATTAAATAAATATTCATATTTGTTAATATTAAAAATTATTTTAAATAAAATTTTTATTTTTTAATTTTAATTTTAATATTTGATAATTACAAAATTTATAAAAATTAGAATAAAAAACTCACTACCACAACCACACTAAATCGAGATTAAATTTTATATAGGATTTTCTAAGTTAAGTATTATTAATTATAGTATTTATAATTAATTTTATATAAAATTTTATGCAAGATTTAAATATAAGATAATATTTATACCTAAAATATGTCAAAAAATTATAAATTTGACATAAAAATTTATGTAAAATTAATTAAAAATATATTAATCAATAAATCTCAACCTGTTTTATGGTATAAATTAAACAAACTCATTTTATATTTATTTTTTTAATATATATGAATGAATTATATATATATATATAAAGATAATCCTCCCATTTAGCTAAATCCTTTCTACCGACTCAAGATCCATTTTATATTTAGATAACAGTATTTATTCGCTTTATGTTTTAAAATTTTAAAAA